GAAGGTCAAAAGTCTCCAGCAGGTTCAACTGAAATAAAACTACCTTATGATATAATATCAAAGACAAAGAGGAGATTCTAAAAGCACTAAAAGAAAAGGAGCAAATAAGATCAAAGGGAGTTCCAGTGTTCCCAGAAGAAATTTCTCAGCAGAAACCTGAAAGGACAGGAGAGAGTGGAATGATATAGTCAAAGCAATGAAGAAGGGACAGGCGTTTAACCTAGTAGTTAAAATGCTTCTCATCACATACAGAAGCTCACTCAATTGGACTAGAGACTTAATGTAACACCAGAGACTATGAAATTTATAAAAAATAACATAAGAGAAAGTCTCTATGGCGTTGCCTTGGGTAGTGATTTTTTTGGGGTATGACTTCCAAAGCACAGACAACAAAAGCAAAAATAGATAAATGGAATTATATCAAACTAAAAAATTTTCTGAAGAGTTAAACAATAATTAGAGTGAGACAACAAATAGAATGAGAGAAAGTATTTGCAAACTATATATCTGATCAGGGGTTAGTTTCCAAAAACATATAAGGACCTCAAACAACTCAAACAACTCAAAGCAAGAGGACAGGAGCCAGAGCTGTGGCTTAGCAGGTAAAGCCACTGCCTGCAGTGCTGGCATCCCATATGGGAGCCAGTTCCAAGTCCCAGCTCCCTGTTAATGGGCCTGGGAAAGTAGCAGAAGATGATCTAAGTCCTTGAGACCCTGCACCCATGTGGGAGATCAGGAAGAAGCCCCTGGATCCTGACTTCAGATTAGCCCAGATCCACCATTTGGGGAGTGAACAAATGGATGGAAAATCTCTAAGTCTCTCCCCATCCCACTCCCTGTAACTGTGTCTTTCAAATAAATAAAATAAATCTTTAATATCTGAGCTCTCATGTCTATTGCAGCACTATTCACAATAGCCAAGATATGGATTCAACCTAGATGTCCTTAAAGAATGAATACATTAAAAAATGTGATATATATCACACACACACACATACACACACAATGAAATACTGTGATAAAAAAAGAACAAAGCATGTCATTTGCAACAATATCAATGAACCTGTAGGGTATTATATTAAGTGAAATAATCCAGGCACAGAAAGATAAATATCACTCACATGTGGAATCTAAAGAAGTTAATCTCACAGAAATAGAGAGTAGGGGCCAGTGCTGTGGCGTGGTGGGTTGGGCATCTGCCTGTGGTGCTGGCGTCTCATGTGGGCACCAGTATGGGTTCTGGCTGCTCCACTTCCGATCCGGTTCCCTATTGATGGCCTGGGAGGTCTGTAGAAGATGGTTTTGGGTGCTTGGGCCCCTGCACCTATGAGGGAGACCTGGAAGAAGCTCTTGGCTCCTGGTTTTAGATTGGTCCAGCTCCAACCATTGCAACCATTTGGGGACTAAACCAGCAGGTGGAGGACTCTCTCTCTCTCTGTCGTCTCTCCTTCTCTCTGTGACTCAAGTAAGCAAATAAATAAAATAAATTAATTATTAAAAAATAAAGAAGGAGGAGGAGAGAGTAGAATTGTGTTTACCAGAGGCTCGAATAGAGATAGGGAGTGGGCAAGACAGTAGGGGCACATTGCTCAACAGACACATATAATTGGAGGAATGAGTTCAAGATATCTATTGTGTAGCATGGTGACTATAGTTAATGATGATTTATTGTATTTTTGAAAGATGCAAAAAGAGTGGATGTTAAGTGTTCTCACTGCAAAAATGATAACTATACATTTGTTAATTAGCTAGAGTATATATATATTTGAATGCTTAAATATGTATTTCAAAACATCATGTTGGATACAATAAATACATACAATTTTATCTGTCAATTTTAGAAAATGCTGAATGAATCCCAAATAGGATAATTGCCTGTGCATTAAACAGCAGAGCTATAAAGTCTGTACAGCAAAAACTGCGAATGGAAACCAGAACCAGTCAAATCCACAATTATAGCTGAATAGTTCAATACCTTTCTCTCAACAATGAATAAAAAACAATCAAACAGAAAACATCAAGGACACAGAACACAGGAACAGCATCAATCAACAGGATCTGATAGACATTCACAGAACATTCCATTCAGTAACAGCAGAATACACTTTTTTTTTAGTACAAGGAACACATACAGACAAACCATGAACAGGAACCATACACACTGTCCTGGAACATGCATGTGACAACCTGGATGAAATGCCAGAGAATAATTCTGAATGAAAACAGAATTCCCAAAATGTCACATGCTGAGTGATCCAGGTCACATAAGAGTTTTTGAAATGACAAAATTATAGGAATGGTGAACAGATTAATAGCTGCCAGGAGTTCTGGAGGGGACGGGGTAGAAGAGAAGTGGGTATGGCTATAAAAGGGTGACACGAGGGATCCTCTGCGTGTGTATCTACAATTCTCTCAAATTTAAAATCAGATTAAAAAATAACTACAAAGCGCTCTTCAGATTTCACAGAAATTTTAAAAAGCTTTTTCAAAAGTGCATGTAAAAAGTGATAGGAATCCAAATAAGGCCTGCACTAGTATGATACCAACGTCAACTTTTTCATTTTGAAAAATGTGCTGAGCTTATGTGAGGTGGTATCCTTGGAAGAAACTGGGTGAAGGGTACATAGAATTTCTGTGTGTTATTTTTACATCTTCTGTGAGTCAAACTGTTTCAAAATAAGAAGTTATAATTTTTAAACCTTTAACATTTTTATTAACGCGTACCACTTGTACTTTTTTATGGGATACAGTGCAATTTTTTTCCACAAATAGGACTTTTTACGTGTCACTATTAAAATCCAAATTTTAAACAGATTTTGGACTGGTGGTTCATGCCCACTATTTCATTCGTCTTCAGCACCTTTCTCACTCCCAGTGGCTTCCCCAGAACTACTACTGTCACTCTAATGCTGCAGGAGTCTTCCCAACTCAACCTTGGGCTTCCTCAGCGTTTTTACTTTTCTAAGGAAGACATCATGGAGACAATAAATAGATTGGCGAGCCCTTTCTATGTCTTTTCCAGTGCAGTTTGGAATCCATTTATTGACCACTATTTTCAAGTTGTTTGTTTGCCCCTCCTGCATCATGATTTTCATATCTTCGTCCAGATGTGGAGGACCTCTTAGAGCTGAGCATAAGAAGTCTTCGGTATCTGATTGTTGTGTTTTTCAGTAAAACCAACACAAGATAAAGCAAGTAACTGTCAGCAGTCTTGACATCAATGAGAGTTTCAGTCATCGTCTGCCATTTTGTGAGCATGGAACACATTTTGTCACTGCTAAGATCCACGCCACGGAAGCTAGTCAGGCAGTTTTTACCCTCCACATGCTTAGTAATCAGCTTGAATTTTCTAAACACAGTGTCATCATCCTGCAGGTTAGCAAGACTCACTTCAATTACATGACCCTTGAGACCATCAGATGCAATTTTGGTCCCTTGAATCCTCGTGACAACTGTTTTTCCATTATTTCTTATATTGAGCACAGCAGGTGCTTTCACACCATACCAATCTTTCTTAGAAAATGGATCAACCACTTTCTTTTTGGCTCCCTTTTTGCCGCCTTTTTAAGGCCTGCTTGTTCTTGCCACCAGTCATGGTGGTGCCCAGACAGCCAAAAAATACCGTGCAATATTTCAACATATATATGCAACATCAAGCAGTCTAACCAGGCAACTAGCTTTTCCATCTGCATTTGGAGCCCAGCAGCTCCTCTCTTCCAGTTCTTTATGCAGAATATAATACAATATTGTAAGAGAAGAGTTTCAGTACCCATTATCCAGCTGCCTCTGTTCTCCCTCCCCCTACCTTTCCCAGGCTCTGATAATCACTATTCTAAGTTCACATTGACTTTTTTAACTTCCACTTATGAGAAACATGTGGCATTTGTCATTCTGTGTCTTATTAATGATCTCTAGTTCCATTCGTTTTGTAGCAAATGTCAGGATTCCATTAGGTATACATACTACATTTTCTTCCTCTGTTCACCTGTTGATGGACACCTAGGTTGGTTTCATATTTTAGCTATTGTGAGTAGTGCTGCAATGAACACAGGAGTGCAGGTTTCTCTTTCATACACCGATTTCATTTCCTTCTAGGTATATACCCAGAAGTGGATAGCTGAGTCTATGGTGTTTATTTTTAGTTTTTAGAGGTACTGCCAGACTGTTCTCCATAATGTCTGTAATGATTCGCATTCCTACCAACAGTGTGTGTAAATATTTCCATTTCTTCACATCCTCACCAGCATTTATTATTTCTTGCCTGTTTTATAATAGCCATGCTAACTGGAGTAAGATGAGACTTCACTGTGCTTTTGATTTTCATTTCCCTGAAGGACAGTGATTTTTTTTTTTTTTTGGTGTTGAGTCCTTTGTGTTCCTTGTATATTCTCTATATTAAAACTTTGTCAGATGCATATTTACAAAGATTTTCTCACACTCATTGTCTCTTCATTGTGTTAATTATTTCTTTTGCTTGGCAAAATATATATATATATATATAATATATTTGTAGTCTTGTTGCCTATGCTTTTGGAGGCATATCCAAAAATCAGTGCCTATGTCAGTGTTTTGAAGTTTTTTTCCTATTTTTTCTTTTAGTAGTTTTATAGTCTCATGTCAGTTTCAGTTGACTTGTATAGGGTGGGAGGTGGTGGGTGGTCAAGAGTCAGTCTTCGGCCTATAAGAAGCCAGTTCTCCTAGCTCAGGTTGCTGAAGAGACCATCCTTTCTCCAGGGCATGTTTTTGGTAACTTTGTCAAAGAACAGTTGACTGTAGTTGCATGGATTCATTTCTGAGGTTTCTACTCTTCCATTGGTCCACGTGCCTGAAAACATTTACTATTCTTATCTTCTTTTAATTAATTCTTAAAAGACCACAGACAAATCCCAGTCCTTGCCTCTGGGTTTGCATGTGAGCATTGTATAGCTGTACTCACCCCCTGGAAAGCACATTCTTTTAAGTGTGGATGAGCTATAAATCAAAGTCCTTGACCAGAATGCTCAAATCTACCAATTTTCTTTAATTTCTACAATGCAACTCCTTTGTATTTGGAGTTCCCCTTCAGTCAATGTGGTAGAAACAATCCCAGACAGCCCAACTCCTACCACTTACTCCTTTCCCTGTGGAGATAGTGCACATTCTGCGACACTTTAGTATAACCTAATATCAAAGTGAGGTGGGGGGTGGTGGAAAGCAGGGACAAACATACCCTCATCCCTGGTATCATCTGCCGACACTGCTATCCCTAGAGGAACCAATCACTTCAGAGTCCCTCAGTCATTGGTCCACACAGGCCACTGCTGGGTCATCCCTGGGCCCCACCTATGAGACCTCTGTACCCAACAGTACCACATCCACACCAGGGTATTAGTTTCTGTGCCTGCTATAATGGATCACCATAAATGTAGTGCCTTAAAACAACACAAACGTATTATCTCAGAGTTTTGGAGGTCAGAAGCCTGAAGTGGATCCACTGGGACTAAAATCAAGGTGACAAGAGGGCTGTTTGCCTGGCAGAAGCTCAGGAGGAATCCGTTTTCTTGCTTTCCCTTCTGGGAGACTGCCTACAGTTCTTGATTGAGGCTGCATCGCTGCATTGTGAACTCTTGCTTCCATCCTCACACCCCCTTCTCTAACCAGCTCTGATATTCCAGGACCATGCCCCCACCTCAGGACCCTCACTTAACTCCATCTATAAGCCCTTTTGCATGCAAGGTAACACAAGCACAGGCTCTAAGGATTAGTGTGCATGGACACATTGGAGGCAGAGGGTAGTGAAAAGATGAATAGAGACTATTCTGCCTCCCACATCACCTGTGGCACTTGGGGTCATCCCACCCTCACCCACCACAGGAACTACTGTGGCTTTGTGAGAAACCACCCTGAAATAACCATTGTACTATTATGATATCCCGGTTTCTGTGGCTCAGGAAATCAGACCAGACTCAGTGGGGAGGGTTTGTCTCTGCTCCATGATGACTGGGGCTTCAGCTGGGACGACCTAAGGCCCAGAGATGACCTGACAGCTGGACACTGGAATCATCTGTAAGTCTCGTGATGGCCAGGTCTTATGGTCAGTGCCAGGTGTCAGCTGAGACCTCCACTGGGATGCTAACGGGACCAGGTACTTGTGGCTTCTCCTTATGTGCACAGCACTGTGTGAGAGCCTTCATGGAATCAAGCTTCTCACACTCAAGTCTCAAAACATAAGTGTCCCAGAAAACAAGGTAGACACTGCATTGTCTTTTGTGACTGTGCTTCTGAAATCGCATAGAATTATTTTTTGCCACGTGCTGTGGATCAAAGTGCTCACAAACTCATCCAGCTCCCAGGGGATGGAAGTAGACCCTGTGTCCTGGTGGGGTGTGCTAAGATTGCTTTATAGAACAGCTAATGGGCTGTCAGGTGGGTTTCATCTCTCTGCCTTGCTTGGCAGCTGCTCCTATACAGTCTTGCTTCCTGTCCCCAGAACTCTACCCTGGCACGACCCAGGCCTTCTGGTCCAGATCCCACAGGCCGGGGAGTAGATGTGGCCACCCCTCAAGGTTCACGCAGAGGGCAGAAATCAGAGGAGCTCTCATAACTTTCCCTCCACCTCACTCTTCTCCAGCTAGGGAAGGGGCTGGGGAGCGGTATCTCTGCTTCATCATGTTCTTGCCAAAATTTATTATCCATTTCCTGAGTTCTTCCAACCCTCCCATGGGTCCATGATTTAAAAACTAAAAGGCCAGCAATTTTCTCAGGAATGCAGTTTTTGCCTTATTCCTTCCCCAAAGCAAAAGCACCAAAAGTTCTCATCCTCCTTGGGCGAAGCACATGATCAAAGAGCATAGGGAAGTGGATGGAGATGAGCCTATCAGTAAACTTTTCCAAAATGTTATCTTACCACAGGTGCTAATATCACAAAACTGTGGCATCTGTTCAGGCTCTTCCTGCCCTCCCACCCCAACATGCTGGTATTTGGAGATGTTTAGGAGGCAATTGAGGTTAGATGAAGTTGTAAGGTGGGACTTTGGTGATAGTATTCATGTCCTTAGAAAAAGAGAAACCAGGATGTTCTCTTTCCATTCAATCATTCACTCAGCAAACATTTGCTCTGTCTATCCATCAGTCTTCTATTGCCATGGAAAAAAGTGATCAAGAACCTAACAGCATGAATTTATTCTCTCACAGCTTCTGCGGGTCACAAATCTGCCCAAGCTCCACTGGATCCTCTGCTCAGGGTCTCACTGGGCTGAAACCAAAGTGTGTGCCCGGCCCACAGTTCTCATCTTGGACTCAGGGTGTTCTCCAAGCTCGTTGGTTAGTGGCCAAATTCATTTCCTTGCAGATGTCAGACGGAGGTGCCCTGTGAACTGTTGGCTTCTAGGGTGGCTCTCTGTCCTTGCCACAGGCCCCCTCCATCTCAGCAACAGAAAACCCCCTCGTGGTAGATCCCTTTCGTGTTCTGAATGTCTCTGCCTTTCCCTTCTGCCTCCAGCCAGAGAAAGCCGTGTGTGCTTTTGAAGGACTTGTGTGAGCAGCTCAGGCCTATCTACATAATCTTCATAATCTCCCCATTTTAAGGGCAACTGACTTGGGACTTCAGTAACATCTGCAGAATCCTTTTACTGCAGTACCTAGATTTGTGGTTAATTGAATAAGCAGGGGCTGGGAATTCTTCGGCTCTTGCCCACTAAATCCCTGCTGTGAGGCAAGAAATGAGGACACTGAGATGGCTATGGCAAAGTCCTCATCCACAGGGACCTACAGCCAACAGCACGTGGCAAACACAAAGTCTCTAGAACACAGGGCGATGACCAGCGATCTGAGCAGAGTACAGTTCTGCAGGACGTCAGAGGTATCAGGATGAACTCTCCCGGAGAGCAGGCAGAGGGACTTCCCAAAGTGACAGGGTCTTTCCCTAGAAGGACAGAAGAGGAAAGAAGGCATTCAGGTGACAGTCACACCACGGACAAAGACAGAAAAACCACGGACAGTTTACAGGAGTGCCCCATAACCCAATAATGCCCTGACTTACAGGACAAGGTTAGAAGCACCAGCAGCCAGGGCTGGAAAAGCTACTGGGACACGTTTACACAAGACGACTCATGCCATCCCAAAGGACGGTGGGCAGGAAAGAGACCGAGCGAGATCTGCTTTGATGACAGCTTGGATAGTGGAGGAGGAATCCAGTGCCAGAGAAAGGAGTTAGTCGGTGTTTATAGCATCTCATGCTTCTCAAACTAACTGTTTCAGTCAGTTCTGGCTGCTAGGACAAATTGCCATGGGCTGGGTGACTTAAACAACATAAATTTATTGCGAACACTTCTGGATGCAGTCCCCAGAACAGAGTGTAAAACAAAGTAGACACTTGAAAAAAAAATCTCAATGCAGGCAGACGTTCGTAGAAAATGTTCTCAGTGCCTTCCTGTGGAGATAAAACTGAATGATCTCTTGATCCATTTTCTAATGCATACATTTTTACTTGTGTTCATTTTATATAACATATAGTAAGATAAATAATCTAAGTAGTATAGTACACGAAAAGGCTTCAAAAGGCTTATGGAAAATTTTTAATATCTTTTAATTTTCTTATGAAAGAAGCAGAGATAAAGAGAGGATTTCATCCATTGGTTCACTCCTGCAAATGCCTACAATGGCCAGTGCTGGGTCAGGTCAAAGCTAAGAGCTGGAACTCAGTCTGGGGCTCCCAGATAGGTGGAAGAACCCACTTATTTGAACCATCACTAATCACCCAGGTTGTGCCATAGCAGGAAGCCAGAGCCTGGAACCAAACCCAGGTGCTCCAATATGGGATGTGGGCATCTCAACAGCTAGGCCAGATGCCTGCCTTGCATGTCTTATTTCTATTCTTCCGTGAACTTTCTGAAACCCCTCATACTTTGTGTATTTTCTTACTTTATATTTTTTGCTCGTATATGGCTTATAGATTATATATTTATTCAACAAGTGTTTTATTTATGTGCATTTTCTAAATTTTCCACAATGAATATGTATTATTTTTCCATGAGAAGCGATAATAATAGGTAACATTTACCGAGCCCTCACAGTGGGCCAAGCATGAAAGCTCAATACTTTACATGAATTATCTCAACATCCCTGGGAGACAGGGATTATCATTATCCCCATTTAGTATTCATAGCTAAGGACCCTGAAGTTCAGAGAAGTTAAGTTAGCGCTGGAGCTGGAATTCAAACCCAAGAGCCTCTATGCTATCGCTACCAAATACTAGCTAGATCAATGCCTGTGTCGCGAAACACATATAAGATCATTATAAGAATGAAGAGAGGAGCAGGCATTTGGCCTAGCGCTTAAGACGCCTGAGTCCCATGTTGGAGTACCTGGGTTCAATACCTGATGCCACTGCTTACTCCAGCTTTGTGTTAATGCAGACTCAACTTGAGGCAGCAGGTGAAGGGTCAAGTCACTGGGTTCTGCCATCCAAGTGGGAAACTTGGATTAAGCTCTCAGCTCCTGGTTTCAGCCCCTGGTCCAGTGTCAGCCCAGTCTGGGCCAGTGAAGGCATGTGGGGAATAAATCAGCCTCTCCCTCTCTCTCTCTCTCACTCACTTTCTAATAAATAAATAGGTTTAAAAAATTTTTAAAGAATAAAGAGACACATTAATATTGGCTATCTCATTGGAAGCTCACAAAAAAATCTTTAAAAATACTTTAAAAAAAATTTTTTTATATATTTGAAAGGCAGGGAGAGACAGAAAGAGGCCCAGAGAGATCTTCCACCTGCTGGTTCACTCCCCAAATGGCTGCAACAGTTAGGGCTGGGCCAGACCAAAGCCAGGAGCCCAGAACCCCATCTGGGCCTCTCCTTGGGTAACAGGAATCCAACTACTTGAAGCATCACCTGCTACCTCCCAGGATGTGCATTAGTGGGAAGCTGGAACCAGGAGCAGAGCCAGGACTCAAACCCAGACGCTCTGATGTGGGATGTGTCTTTTTTTTTTTTTTTTTTTTTTTTTTTTTTTGACAGGCAGAGTGGACAGTGAGAGAGAGAGACAGAGAGAAAGGTCTTCCTCTGCCGTTGGTTCATCCTCCAATGGCCACCGCAGCCAGCGCACTGCGGCTGGCACACCGCGCTGATCCAATGGCAGGAGCCAAGTGCTTCTCCTGGTCTCCCATGGGGTGCAGGGCCCAAGGACTTGGGCCATCCTCCACTGCACTCCCTGACCACAACAGAGATCTGGCCTGGAAGAGGGGCAACCAGGACAGAATCCGGCACCCCGACCGGGACTAGAACCCAGTGTGCCGGCGCCGCAAGGAGGAGGATTAGCCTAGTGAGCCACAGTGCTGGCCGGGATGTGTCTTAACTACTGCTCCAAATGCCTGCCCCGCACGAAAACTTATGACACCCAGAGGCACTATTATGTCCACTTTCAAGACAAAGTCACAGGCCCGGATGACTGTGTTTTGCAACTGCCTCCTGCAGGTGCTCTCTCTCCTCTCGTAAACCTTTTATCCCACAATACAGATCTCTCTTAGCTCCTCTGTATATTAACTGTGGACACAGCTCTGCTTCTCTCTGGTGAGCTTGAGGTTTGTCCATAAGCAAATCTTCTAGGAAGTTACCAGAAGACAGGTCAGGAGACTTGACATCTAGTCTTGGCACTAACCCCAGAAACGTCAGTTTTCCCACCTGTAAAACGAGCTGGTTAGAGGCTCAGACATCTAGGGATCAACGCAGAGCTGGTATTTGTCAGCCTGATGACCCAGGTAAGGACTGACTACCATGCACTTCCTCACCTACACTGCAGAAACTGCAGCCTTGACCCCAGGACACAAAATGCTTTGTAAGATCGTTCCAGGTAAGCAGATCGGTGGCCTCTTGGACAGCATCGGCTCCCTGTCTCTGGGTAAGCATCGACCAGAAATGCACCTCATTCATTCAGCAGTTGCTTGGGCACCTTTGACACGCCAGCCAGGGGTAAGCATGTGGATACTACCTACAGTGAACTGAGCAAAGCTCTGCCTGCATGAACTTCCCATTCTAGTTGGGAGACAGCTATATAAATGCATCAGTTCATATTAAAATAATTTATGATAGAAAGACTGCCCGATGGCACTTGTACTTCAGGGTTCTGCAAAAAAAGGGGGGGGGGTACAGGGGTGGGTCATGTCTGGTAGGGACTATCTTTACTCTCCTTTTGGTGCAATAGCAAAAGATAAAGACAGGGCATTGAAATAACATCGACCTTGCACTTACAAGACTTGGATTTTAATCATAGTTCTGAATTCAGCCTGTGAACTTGAACTAATTACTGTAACCTTTATAAGCTTCCAGAACCTCCTCTGTAAAATGGAGATAATGGTACCAGCTGTGTCTTCCTTACAGCGATGATGCAAAGATCAAACCACATAGTGAAATCAAATAAATAATAAGCTCTGGTTTTTTTTCCCAATTTGTAAACTTTCAGTTCTAACACCTCAAGCAAGTTCAAACTGCTGCTAAACTCAAGCTCTGGCATAAACTTGAAAACACCAAGTCCCGGCTCCAATCCTAGCAATGCCAGGGGATTTCATCTCCTGGCATAAGGACATTTCATAATAAACCACGGGGGTGGGGAGATGCAGACACGAAGGAAAACAGCGTCTACCCAGCATTTCCTTTTCCCTCTCACTACAGGCATTCAGTAAAGCCATTCAAATCTCCAAAGGGTCACACTGTGGGTCCTCTAATTAGAAGTAGTGCCAGTGGTGGCTGTTGTATGCCACTGTTGGTCAATTGATACTTAATAGTTTCCATTTCTAAGAGTCTTAGAACCAATTAAATAAATTTAACATATGGAATATGTACAGCAAAATTGTAACCAGGACCTGGTAGGATCTCTGAGACCTGTTTGCTTTTTCTTGTTCATTTCTCTCTGCATTTTGTGTTTCTTTTTTCATTCATTCACAAGATATTTATCCAACATGCACATGCAGGAGTCAGACAGCTCGAAGGGGCAGCCCTGCAATTCACATCTCAACTCCCAGCCTTGCCTGTTCCTCCCAGGTCTCCTCTGGGTTTAAAAGCCACCGTGGCTGTCTTACTAGATTAGGGGCTTCTTAGGGGAAATGTTGTGATTGCTGTTTCTTCCCGATCTGCCATTTCTAAATTTTTAAGACTCCCCAAACAGGCTTGGTTCTCACCAAATTACCATGCAGAAAGTGCCCTTCCCCACACCACTGGACCATGTAGAAAACCCCATGGCTCCTTCGTCCTGAAGCCACCAAAGTGGGAATCCAGATTCTACCACTTGCCGGTTCTGGGAGTTCAGAGCAGCTTCTCATCCTGCCCCAACTGCAGTCCTGTCATCTATAAGGTGGGAAAACACTACTGTCAGGTAGGTGGTTCTAAGGATGTGATAAAGGCTAGTGCTGTGCCCAGCCTCAAAACTTTTTGCTGTCAATAAAGACAGTCATGGGAAGCCGGGCAGCTGCTCTAGTCTAGAGGCTGAGCTCAGTTTGTTATCAGAAAGGTGGAATGGAGCTCTGGTTCTAGCCTCTAATGAACTGGTGCTCAGTTATCCTAGTTTCCTTCATTTGCCTTGGGCTGGTTGCTACACTTCTCCGAGCCTTGGCTTCCTCACCTGTAAAATGTGGATAATAATATAAGTGGACAGCGGGTCTCAAATTATGGCCAGAGATCCTGGTGGTCCCCAAGACCCTTTCAGGGTCCTCGAGGTGAGAATTGTTTTCATAGTGGTCCTTTTCACTCTGATTCCTCATAGGAACACAGCAGAGTTTACCAAAGGTTATGTGACATGCAATGATGTCACTGCTCTGCAGGCTAATGGAAAGTGTGCTTTTCATCTTTTCCAATTTAATTTTCCAATACAGCAAATATGTATCCAACCCCAAAAAAAATAAAAGCTATTTAGGATCTTCAATATGACTTTAAAGGGAACCTGAGTCAAAACATTTTGAGAATGGTTGCCTGATAGGATTGTTGTAAAGATTAAGCAGCAACCATACAAAAAACTGAATAAACAATACCCTTGAGAGTCTTGCTTCCACACTCCTGATCCCTATCAAATAAGGGTCTGCTTACTCTTTTGACAACAAATGCAAAAGTCATCCTTGTTTTATTCCTCGCTGGTTCTTTAGATAGTGAAAGTCCAGTCCATGCTAAATCTAGAACAATGTAAAGACACACACTGCACAGAAGCTCCTCACCCCTACAGTTCCATGAGACCCAAGGGCCCTGAAGAGAGAGGAACCCAGTGTCCATGGGGTTCTCCGGCTCCCAGCATCCGAGCTGCCCTCCCGGTATACATAATCTCCCCCAGCCTGAAGCAGCTGGCAGGGGGCCTGAGACAAGGGAAACTCAGCTTCCAGAAAACCCTCCTGAGTGATTGATCATCAAGATGAGGTGCAGCCTCAAAACAGGAATCATTTCCTTAAGGTTTGGGTAATTTCCATGGAAACAGACTCACAAAGATCCTTCCAAAAAATTCGTAGAAAATTTAAATAAAATAGGTTTATTTTGCTGCAAAAAATTTTTTGAAATCCATGCATATGCAGGGTCTTCAAAAATTTCACTGAAATATATATTAGGAAAAACCATATTTCTATTTTCAACCAAAATACATTGAATTTCATTTTCCCAAATTTTTTGAAACATGTGCCTAGTTATTTTTTAAACAGAAGGGGAAGTAGAATGATCTACAAGGGCATATCAAGGTAAGCAATGCAAAAATGCTAAAATTATCGGCATTTCCCCCCATTTACTATCCCAGCACCCTCTTAGGGTGGAAAACCAGCATCCCTAATTTCTGATGCCACAGGCAAGCAGCTTAGGACCTTGGCCGATCGGACTTGTGCTGGACTGTAATCATCACGGCGTTCTTATCAGAATCCTGTAATTTTCTAGTTCGCAAATTCTAGACCGGTGGGTAGCACCTGCAAGCCAGGACCTTGTTTATGGGTTATTAAAAAGCAAAGAGACAGGCAGACCCTGCATCAGCAAAGACCGAAGGAACAGGTGCAGGCCATTGAGAAACTTTTGCATAGCAGCTAATTTAATTACAATTTTCTTTCCTGAGGAGTCAAGGGGTTATTTATGTCAGAGAAAGGGGAGCCCCGGGGGAAATGGGAACCCTTGCACGTCTTTCAGCTACTTCCTCCTCCCCAGCCTAGGAAACCAAACCGCCAAGCGGTCTCCCGTCTCCCAGCGCGCCGGCCACGCGGTCGGCGCCCAAAGCCAGCCTTGCCCACCCCAGTTCCCGGCCTCGTCAGCGGCCACTGCACCGCACCCGGCCACCTGTTGCTGCCCTGGCGCCCAGAGTCGAACTCAAACCGCCACTAGAGTTCGTTCTAATTCCCCAGAGCCAAGCTGGCCGGGAAGCCCGCCGCGCCGCGCTGCGCCGCGCCTGCTAATCCGCAGGCCGGGCGGGGACTGCGCAGAGTCTCCCCGCCGCAGGCTCCTTTTGTTTTCGCGCTGCACTCCGAAGTGTCAAAACCAAACCCGGACCGCAGCCCCTCGCCCGGACTCGGCTCACGCGCGCTCTCCCCCGGCGAGAACCCGGGAGCTAACGCAGCGCCCTCCGGCCAACAGAAGCAAAGCGGGGTCCACCCGGGCTCGGGAACGCGCGGCACACACGGGTTGCCGCATTAGGGTCTCCAAGTGTCCCTGCATCGCGAATCGCTCGGAGCTCCGGGGCCGATCACTGCTGCAGGAGCCAGACGCCGGGAACTCCTGTTCACTTGCGGTTCCGAGACCCCGCCCGCCAGCGCTCTAAGCGCCGCGGGGGAGCTCGAGGCGGAGGCCGTCCGGGCTCCCCCTCGCGCGTCTCGGTCCCGAAAGTGGTGGCCTCGCTCTCCAGGGGCTTCACTGCACGCGCCGCAGCCGCGTGCGTGTCCCCGGGTCTGAGGATCCCAGCGCTCGCGGGCCCGACTGGAGTTTAAGTCGCCTCCCGGGGTGTGAGTTTGTTTACCGGCCGTTCAGGGGAAAAAGTTTGCAGATCTCTAATCAGCCTCAGACCCGCGCGGACGGAAATCCCCGACTCTCCCCAGCGAAGGAGAGCCAAGTTCCAGCCGTTACATAAGTGGGGGCTCCTTCCCCTCCCTGCCCCGAGTTGTCTCGCTTCTATCCAGGGAGCAAAGTAGGTCTCGCTTTTTTAAAAAAAATTATTATTATGGTTATTACATTCCTGAAGCCGAGGGCGCGCCAGGGCGCGGATAGCGCCCGGGGGGAGCGCGGCGACCCCCCCCACGCACCCCACCCGCGCGCAGCGCCCGGAGTCGCCGAGGGGACGCGGGTCCGGGCGCGGCGGGTGCCGGGCCAGCGAGCGCGCCCCGCGGCCCCGGGCCCGCCCCTCCACGTGGTCAGGATCAACAGTTTGTTGAGCTCATCAGTGACACCTTGAACTTTTCATAAAGAAAATGGGTATTGCACGCCGCGGGTTGGGCTGCGACCGCCGAGCCGGGTCGTGCTTAATATTCAATGAGCTCGCTCGCGCCGCCCCCTCCTCTTCTCGCAGAAATTCCACCGAGTCCGTTACTGGGCTCGGACTTTCCAGTGAATGTCTGCTCCCCCCCCCCCCCTCCACGCACACACACACCTTGGCCAGGGACCAGTGCCTTTAGGGGTAGCCTCCCCCCAGCCTCCAGCTCCCGGCTCAAAATGACACCGCGCCGGCGTCTCCGCGGGGCCCCAAGGCCACTTTGCAACTTTGCGCGGAGCCCGAGCCCGGCGGCGCCCGGCGGTGGTACCGTATGCAAATACGCATGCTGACGTTACAGATCATGTGGGTTTTGGCGTAGATTCCCCACTGATCGAGGCATTTTTTTCCCCCTTTTTTTTCCCTTTTTTTTTTCTTTTAAAAATTTTGGCTACCGTCCTCCGTCCGGGGGCTTCCTCCGTCCGTCGGTCCGGCGGGCTGGCGGCCCCCCTTTCCCACGCCGCGACCGGGCGCCGCCGGGCAGCGGGGCCGTGGGTGGGAGCAGCAGTTCCATTTTGGAACCCGAGCCGCGTCTCGGCCCGGCCGGCGCCCGCCTTCCAGCCCCGGCGCAGGTAAGAAACTTCGCCCGCGCTGAGCACCCCCGGCCGTGCCGCCGCCCCGGGCCCGCTCGCCGGGCGCCGGCCGCTCCAGCCCCAACTTTCCCACCGCCGCCGCCGCCGCCGCTCCCCAAAACGCGCTGTTCATGGGACTTGGCCGTGTCCGTGATGAGGGGGTGGGGGGGGTACGGGAGCAGGACCGGGGTGGGGGGGGGGTGCAGGCTTTTTTTTTTTTTTTTTTTTTTTTGCTTGTGGGAAGAGAGGTGCGGATACGGAGAAGGAGGTTTAAAAAAAAAAAAAAAGAGTTCTGATTGCAAGTTTGGATAAACGGGAGGCAGACCGAGCAGGAGGGGAGGAGGAACAACATGTCTACGTTTCCCTATGTCGACATAAGCCACAAAAAAATATGGCGTCCGCTTTCGACAGGGCGTTACGTAGACCCGACTCTGTTTTTATTTATTTATTTCTTCCGTGGCCGGCGCCCTCCCTCCCCGGCCGAGCTGCGGCGCTTTGTGCCAGCGGGGCAGGTCCCGCGGGGACGCCCCCGGGACGCGGCCCCGGCTCGGCGGGGCGCGCGGGCAGCGGCGGGGGCTGCGCGTGCGGCCCGCGCCCCTCCGCGGTGACGACGCGCCGTGCGGTGGTGGCAGGAAGCCTGGCGCCGTGGGCTGAGGCTGCCTCGCCGCGCGGCCGCTCCCGGCGGCTGCAGGCAGGGGCGCGCCGCGCGCTACCTGACGGGGGGCAGGGCCGGGGCGCGCCGCGCCGCGCGGCGCTCAGGTGCCAGCGAGCCCGGCGGGGGGTCTGGGGACGGCGGGGGGACCACGGGGGGTCCTGCGGTGCGCACGGCCGCGGGAGCCCACGCTCAGCCCCTGCGCGGCCGCCCCACAAGAGGTTAATCTTTGTTGGTGTTGCAGCTTCTTTGTGGCTTCCCCAGGACTTGGTACCCTGGGCTTTGCAAACTTGCCCTTTTCCCAGCCGCTTTGCAGGAGGCTGCGGAGACAGAGCTGAGCGGAAAGTTGGAAGCCGGCGAGCATCACAGGACGATCCCTTTGGCCTCTTCGCTGTGCAGTGCTCAGAGGAGGAGGAGGGGGGCGGGGGACGGGCGAGGAGGAGAGCTGGTCAGGCTGGGGAGAAAACTGGACAGGGAAGCAAAGTTGTGATTTGCTCGGGCTTCGACCCGAGTGCTCGGCCAGTGGGGTCTCGCCTTCAGTTCTTTGGCCAGGGTCTTTTGTTTGGGGCGAGCAGGAGGAGGGGGCTGGATGAATACAGACTTTGCCTGGAGCCCTCCCCTTTTTAAAAAGAGTTTGCTGCTCAGCTTGGGCCCAAGGGATCCGTCTCAGACCCTGGAGTCCTGTCCCTACCCACTACTGTCGTGATCGGGATCGTTTTCTCGCCAAGGACCCCAGGCAGGCCCTGTTGGCCAGGATCCCTTGGGGTCTCTCAGAATTACCACAACTGCCCTTGTAACGCACATGCACACAGAGGAGCCAGCGCTCCTTTATGTGGCGCGGAGGGCAACGCTTGTGCACGCACAGGCGTGAGGTTCTGAGGGCTCTTCCGGGCTGGAGTCAAGAGGTGACTTTGTCTTTATGAGGGCAGCGGCGGGTGTATGGAGTTCACTCCCGGGGCAGCAGTATCAGGAAGCATTTAGATGATGACCAAGTGGAATAAATATCTTGTAAAATGGTGTGTTTAATAGGAAAAAAAAATAGATGCATGGAGCCGTCAGGTGGTTGAATGGATGAACATAAAGATCTGATTTCAGTTTATAGGCAAAGTTACACGAAGCTGTATTCACATCCTTTTCTTTAAGGCCAGAGGAGGGGAAGTCCACAAGTAGCACGGCATTGTGGCCTGGGAGGCGTGGGGCTGCCATTGCTGGTCAGAGAGGCCCCGCTCCTGCACGGTTCTCACGCCTGCCTTGCTTTCTGATTCTTAGCTGCGTTTGATGCCAGCTAAGGACTCACCTGAAGTTAACAACCCTAAGGAGAGCCTTCAGAATGCCAAGGGTTTAGGGCCGATCAGCTGTGTTGGGTTGGGGGCTTGAAAATGTCTGTGAAAAAGGGAATTAAGAGCTAAGTCTGTTTTGGTGCAGAATGTATGAAATCCATGCAGAGTTTTGTTTTCATAATAACGCATTTTCTGTAAAGTTTTGCAGACCCACTAGTATTAACTCATCCTCACTGACAAGGGAAACCATTGGAAAGGACGCTGTTGGTTGGCGATGGTGCCGCCATGCAGATGGGAGGACCTTGATGCACCGGGGTGACCCCCGCCCCCACTGTTTTCTACTTTGGGGCCATGTGGTTCTGCAGGATGCTGTGCATTTAGCCAAGAGAATAATGGCGATGTTTGGTAACAGTTGCTACCACTTCCTGTTAACAGTGTGCCAGGCCGGGTGCTGTATGGTTTACCTGCTCTATCGGCTGCTGCTTGCCGTAGTCCCATATGCTAAGTGCTGTAATTATCCCCAGTGTGCAGATGAGGAAGCTGAAGTTCAGAGAGGGGAAGAAACTTGACCAAGCCAGACAGCAAAAAGCAAGCCAGGCCTGACTTTGTTATCTTAACCCGCTCGCCTCGTAGCAGCTCCCCAGATATGGGAAGTCATGGTCAAGAGTGAGAACGTATAGTGCCAAGAACAGGTGGGAAAATGGAACCTGTAGCTGCTGCCCTGGGAGCCGAACCCAGGCATTTCCCTGGATTTCATTGTCTTTTCATTTATTTAGCAGCTGTTAGTGGTTCATTTATTCATTCAGCCACCACCATTGAGTACTTTCCTATCTGGGCACCGTCCTGAGTGCTTATGTCTTCACGGCAACCCTGCCACATAAGTCCTCTCGTTCTCTCTCTTTTGTAGATGAGCAAATGCAGGCAGGGAGGTCAGCAACTTGGAGAGAGTGTCAGCCCCTGGGGACACGGGCAGCCCACAGTGTGCAGTGCCGTGCACCATCCCAGACGTCGCAGAGATGCTAGGCAACAGAGCCCCCTGGCTTCTGCGTAGAGCCCTCTCCAGGCACTCATGGATGCTGGTGGGATAGAGACCCCCTAGCTCTAGGCGGTTGAAGCAGATCAGCAGGGGACCCTCATTAGGGCGCGTCAAGCAGGATTAAACAAATGCAGTAATTGTGAACGGTCACCGCCGTGGAAGCACCAGGAAGGGCTCAGAGGGAACCGGGGAGGGTCTCCCTGAGCCATGGACGAAGAGCAGCCGTGTCTGGAGCTGGTTCAGACATCATTGCATTCAGCTGCTGGTCACAGAAACCCACAGCACTAATGACTTAAGCAGATAGGGGCTTCCTTGTGTCAGACAAGCAACGGGGTGGGTAGGATGATGCCTCAGCTGTGCTGTCGGGAACACAAGCTATGTCTTCCCGCTCCGCCATCCTTACAGGGTGTGGTTTGAGCCTTTGTCAGCTCATGGTAGTAAGATGGCTGCTGCATCTCCAGGCCTCACATCCGCATTCCAGGAAGAGAGAAAAGGATGAAAGTGGCCCGGAGAGCTTTGGCCCTGTTATGTTGGGAAGGGACCCCTGTCCTTAGCTGATAGACCAGAGCTATGCCATGTGGTGACCCACACCTGCCAGGGAGAGGCAGCCAAGTGTTTTTGATGGGGCCCATTATTGCCACAAACAAGTTGAGGCTCACTGTGTAAGGCGGGGACGGGGGGGGGGGGTGAATGGCAGAGCAGTTGCTGACTTGGTAGGAAGAGCACTGGATGACAGCAACACAGACAGACTGTGGGAAGCAGACAGAGGGACATAGGGGAGAGTTATAACAAGAGGTGAGGCCAGACAGGTAGGGGGGTACACAGCAGGCTGGCTTTTAACCTAAAGGTAGCGGGTTTTAGGAAAGGGGCAAGGCTTAGACTGATAGCAGTATGCCTTATGTGGATGAACCAGCTCGCTGCTTACTTGAAATAGAAGGAGTTCTGGAAAGCTGTAACCAGGGCACCAGTCTTGCCTTAGGACAAAAAGAGAAGCTGGAAGGATAAAGCAGTGAGGGCTGGTGGGCATGCTTTCTCTTAGGCTCTATCAAGGAGGAGCCGAAATTCAAGGAGCTCGCCTTCCACCGTATCTCAGTGAAACTGAACAGGCTTAGAGGAGGCCCCGATTCCTGCCTGGACGCCACATTGGCCTTTGTCTTGGCCTCCGGGACTTCCGGGTCCTGGCCGCAGCTGCACTGCTCAGCAGCTGAATTTGGCCATGAGCCTCACCTTTGCTTTAAATCGAGGGAATGATGTCACGGGGCCTCTGAGGCCTTCCCCACGCTGAATATCTCCAGCGTGGGCCGCCAGCCCTTACCCTCTCAGCTCATTTTATGAGCTATTGCTTTCCCCCTCTGACTCTCAGTCTCCTTGTCTCGAAAATGGATGCTGTTCTGGGAGCTGTCGTGGGGCTGTCATGAGACTCAGAAGAAATGATGAAGGGGTTTGGACAGTACCTAATGTGCAGATTGCGCTCAGCAATTGTCACCACCGGCATCAGCGTCACTGCCAGCACCTCTAGGAAGTGACTTTATCGTATCCTTGAAGTGCCAAGTAATTAACATGCATAGATTTTATTAACAAGCCCAGGACCCTGACTGTCCCCGTCTCATTGCTATTCTCCTCCTATCCTCCTGCCACTCCCCCCCCACCCCCCTTCCCCATGTGCAGCGGTACCCTGGCAAATCCAGGCAGCTACTGAAATGGTAAGCCGTATTGAGAATGTCACGGTGAGACCCTGGCGATCAGGTCCTGTAATGTGCTGTGTCATGGTCAAATCCAGAGCGCACAGTTCTGGAAGGACGCGTCGTTATGCACCTGCCCCCTTTGGTAGACAATCAGGTGGGTGTTGTTTTCAGTATTGACAAAGTAGTTTCATTTCTAACTGGAAAAAAAAAAACTCTTGTTTCCCCCACTCCCACCCGCACCCTTCTCTGAGTCCCCCAACCTACACTGAACAGGTTGTGATTTTTAAGAACAACCACCCACAATCTGCTTCCTGTTCTCAGGCTTGTAGTCTTGCATTTAGGAAGGG